ACACAAGCTAGTCGTCAAGCCCGGCGATCGCCTTCGAATACTTCGAGAATGCCACGACCGCACCGCGCATAGAGGAATCTATGCAACCCGAGCCTTCGTCAATGAGCGATTCTGGTGGCCGTTCCACTACGCCGACATCGCCTGGTTCGTTCGATCGTGCCATATCTGCCAGTCTCGACAAGTGCGTCAAATCCTCATTCCTCCAACCGTCGCAGTACCAGCCCCCATCTTCGCGAAAATTCACATCGACACAATGCACATGCCTGCCTCGGGCGGATACAAGTACTTGGTCCAAGGTAGATGCTCGCTCACGACTTACCCCGAGTTTCGAATGCTTCGAAAAGAGACAGCGAAGGCCCTCGCCGACTGGATCTTCGAAGACATCCTCTGTCGATGGGGCGCGCTCAGCGAGATCGTCACCGACAACGGTACGGCGTTCATCAAGGCGGCCGATGTCGCGACTTGAGGTCTAGCGACAGGGGAAAACCTAAAAGGAGCTGGGGGCGTTCGACTAAGTCTCACCGAAGCGATGGTGAGCAGTGCTCAAACCTAAGGCTAGGGACAAGAAAGTGTATTAGTTAGTGTAAGGTAAGTAAGAGAATACAGGAGCTTACTGACCTAGGGACAAGAGGTCGAAACTGAGGTCCCTAGGGCAGCAGAGGCCGGCTTATATACATGGGGAGATTTAGGGCAGGCTGTGCACGTTGGTCCGTGCGCAGCTGGTCTGTGCGCAGCATGCCGACGCGGCCCCGGGGGCCGGTGAGTCAGAGCGGCTGTGTCAGCGGAGCCCGAGCTGTGCCGTGCGCTGCCGCCCCATCTAATCTAATCGTACAGTAGATAGCGACGCATCCATATCAGGCAAGTAGTACAGAGGTCGCGGGTTCGAGCCCGCGAAAAGGAAAAATTAAAAGACGGCTAGGCGCCGTACCAACTCGTGACAGCCGATTACCTTTCGAAGAAGTACCACATCAACCATATTCGAATCAGTGGGTACAATTCGAGGGCGAACGGTCTCGTCGAACGTCCGCACTTCAGCACGCGACAAGCCTTGTTCAAGACAGCCGACGGAGATGAGAAGAAATGGTCCCAAGCTGCGTACTTTGTATTTTGGTCCGAGCGCATCACGACTCGACGACGCATGGGCTGCTCACCCTACTTCGCTGTTACGGGCACCCATCCGCTCATTCCTCTTGACATCGTCGAAGCTACGTACCTGCAACCACCACCAACTTCGGTCCTTTCGACGACCGATCTCATCGCCCGAAGAGCCATTGCGCTTCAGAAACGCGTCGAACAAGTCACCGAACTCCACTCGAAGGTCTACGAAGCACGTCGAACGGCAGCAATTCGATTTGAGAAAGAGCACGAGCACTCGATCCAGGATTTCGACTTCAAGCGCGGAGCCCTAGTGCTCATACGCAACACGAAGATCGAGAAGTCCCTCAACCGCAAGATGCGCCCGCGATATCTAGGCCCCCTGATCGTTGTCTCGCGCAACAAGGGCGGCGCATACATCGTGTGCGAACTCGACGGTACAGTCCTCGATCGACCCATCGCAGCATTCCGCGTCATTCCGTACTTCGCGCGCAAATCCATACCAATCCCCGAAGATCTCGAAGATGTCTCGACCGAGCGTCTTCGAGAACTCGAACTATCGAATTCTCTAGGCGACGACGACGATGATGAAGTCGAAGAAGCCGAAGAACGCGACGAATAGAGGTTCTTCCCTTACTTGTACAACACGATACGTACTTTCTTCTCTCCATTCCTGCTCTCACGTTACGCGATATGCTTGATTTTTATCCTACGTTTCAGACCATCCCTTGTACGATTACCTTCGATTCAACTCGATAGTCGCGATATCGTTCGACGTTCTACGAATGCTTCGATTCGACTGTTGCGCGGAGGCTCACCTTAGACGAGTCCTCCTAGGCTGTGATGACAAACTGAGCCTATATTTTCATTAAGTCCATTTTCCTTCGCTACGAACGTTACTATTTCGCCTTCTACGTCCTTCGACCATGTTACGACAGGCTTCGAACACTTATTTTCATTTTCTTTTCTTAGTACCCGCTAGGTTTCGTCTAGGCCAAGGGCCGCATTTTCCATTCAACCATCTACGCAATACTCTACGACACGAGTACGACTACGATACAAAACGACGCGCCTAGTCCTCGTCAACAGCCCCGCGCACGAACCCGATTCCCCCCTTCGCGAGCGCGTCCTTCTCCATCTTCTGGAGGTCGAGGTCCATGTCGTGAAGGAGCGCTCGACGGCGCGCGATGTGGGCACGCTCCTCGCGGATAACGCGGATGATCCCCCGAGATTCATCGTCGAGGTCGAGCGCGTC